AACAAAGCTGCAATGGCCATTTCATAAAAAATTACATCACCATCACTTTCGCATAACATTGTTTTCTTTAGCAGAAATAACAGGATATTCCTGTTGAATGTTCCACCAAGATTCACTGGAGGAGCTACAGTTAGCTGCTGCTGCGACTATTTGAATTTGCAAAATGATCATATACATATATGTTAATCGTTAATTTATTGATGAAAATATAAAGGTTTTGGACTAATTGTGGAAAAACATTTGAGACTAGAATTGTTTGAAGATGGCAGCAATTCATCCTGGTTTTGGCCCAGCTCAGTCTAGCCATTAGCTCATCAATCCAGACAGAATTAAACTTTATTTCTTAAAAATAAAGATTATTAAAATCTACAACAGGAAGATAATGATTAGTCAAAACTTGTCTAATAGATCTGACAACTTTAAATAATATAAAAAACATATGTAAAAAAAGCTACCTCCATTATTACACAATCACAAAACATTTTTAAATTCCTTTTTATTACATGTAAATTTAAAAATGTTTAAGCATCACTTTGCACAATTTTCACTGTGCGACTGATTATTTTCAGGTCACTTGCCTTTCATTGTTTTACTCGTATTTAAAATTCTAAGACTGAAAAGAACACCTACGGTATTAGATTAAGAACTCTAGCTCTTTCTCTTCAGTAAGAGTTATCTAGTTTATTCTGGATGTAATTTCATTGATCATTTTGTTAAAAATGCTGGCAAGCATTCAAGTATTCAGTCTTAAAAATAAAGCATTCCAGAGTGTGTCTGCACATCATGAAATGGGTGGACTGTTGTGTGTGAGGATGTTTAAGATGAATCGTGTTTACATTAAAAAAAAAAAGATGAAGCAGAGAGCTAACATGTTGCACAGATCTGATAAACACAGGAAGAGAAGAAGGAGTAAAACAAAGAAGGACAAAGAGAGACAAATGGTGACAGAGTGCTTGTCTCTTCAGCTCTGTGCTTTTGCAACAAGACATAATGTAATCTCTCCTTGAGACGGAAGGATTTTTATAACCTGTGCAGGCTGGGCCTTGAGCAGGAGAAGAGACTAGCTGAGTGAAGGCTGTTTATCCCACAGTGTCCTTGATATAAACATGTGAAAAATCTCCCCTCTCTCCCTCTCTCTCAGCTAAATCAATACAAAGACATGTGGAGCTCTGAACAATGTTGCAGCAGAAGTTTTTCATCTTGTCTTTATTCATAACCATGTCCTTCGACAGAAGAGAGCAAACAGACATGGAAGTCCTGCTGTTTCATGAGAGCAGAAATGTTTGAGTTCAGAGAGTTTGAGAATACTTGCATAACATGGCTTGTAGACAATCTTTTACTCCAACCAGGCTGTCATCTCTTCGGGGTTCACCCCGCTCTTCTTCCTTCGCCTCTCAACAGTAAGAAGCCAACGCCACCCTTAACCTATGACTCCCCTCTTTGAAGCACATAGGATTAACCTCTAATTCATCTGCTTTGTCCTAACTTGTCCTTCTCTGGTTTTCATTTGCTCAACCCCACCTCCTCCTCCTTCCCTGTTGCACCCCCCACCACATCCTCCTTCAGTGACAGAGACAAGGGGAGCACTGAGTCATGACATCATAATTCACCAGCTCCAGTTTTCACGGTTAAATCAATATCACTGTGTCCGAGTCAAGGATGGAGGCTGGCCTTCACAGCTCAGTTCTTCCTGCCTTTTTTTTCTTCATAGAAAATCATATAAATTGTCTCCTAAATAATTAAGCCTTCAGATCTATCTGCCCTGCATTTTTCGCTGGTTCCTGCCTGATGAACAGCATTGCTATGGAGTCCAAGGTAGGGCCGAGAGGAGAGTGGATTGCTTTACTCTCACATTTAGTAAAACAAACCACTAAACAGACTGATCTCTATCATCCCACTGCCTTACAATAAATAAATAAATAAAAATTAAAGGGATCCACGTTTAGTTGTAACATTAAACTTTATTTTATAAACATTTATTTTAATTGTAAAATAAAGACTGTAAAAATTCTGTAG